TCCTTTTATTTCTGTTGTTATACACGTAGCTTTTTCTAAGAGATTTTCCATGCTAGAATAGTTTGAGATTATTTTTCCTGGTTGCCATTAGTTCTAATACCGTTTGTGAACATACTCATTATATCATCTACAGTATTTACACCTACAGGTATTTTATTACATTAAAAAATAAACCTGTTCTTTTTCTCATTGCCTGAAGAAATTAAATGAGCAAGCTGCAGAACTGTTTGAATCTGGAGAGGATCAAGAAGTAAATAATGGTCTGATTATTATGAATGAGTTTATTGTCCCATTTTTGCCCTTATTATTGGTGGATGAAATGGAAGAGAAAGATATACTCGCTGTGGAAGATATGAGAAATCGATGGTGCTCTTATCTTGGACAAGAAATGGAATGTAAGTTTAAATAATGCTAATGGATACCTGAGTTGGTTGGAATTAAAAGCAGTTAATATAAATAATATATTTTTTATATTCTGTAATATTCACATTATTTTTTTCTTATTTACAAACTAAGCTATTAACTTTCATTTGTCTTTTTATCTCTTCCCTCAAGATGATAATTATTTTGTATATTTTAAAATGAATCATCAATTTGCCACTACAAGTTAATAAGTTACCTTAAAGATAATTTCACTCGCTCTCTATCTTTAGTTAACTCTAATTGTTTCTGTTTGCAGCAAACCTCCAAGAAAAGCTGACAGATTTTCTGCCAAAACTTCTCGATTGTTCTACGGAGATTAAAGGATTCCAGGAGCCACCGAAGTTACCTTCGTATTCTACACTTGAACTGTGCGAGAGATTTGCCCGAATCATGTTGTCCCTCAGTCGAACTCCTGCTGATGGAAGATAAACAGCACACACTTGCCCTAAACACACTGTGTAAACTTTTTTTCAGTTTTTAACCCTTGCCTTCCTGTCACAGGGTTTGCTTGTTGCTGCTATAGTTTTTAACCATTTTTTTATTTTAATGACTTCAAAATACAAAATGACTATACAGACTTTAGCTGAACTGCAAACAATAAAGCTGGGAATCGCATGGCTCTCAGACTTTTTCTTAGCCAGCTCTCCTGTATAATTACAAATCTGATTGATTGTATCATTGAAAAACCATGTTTTTGCAACCTTTCTCTTACAGTATTACTGCTTTTATCTTTATCCACATTGTTCCATTGAGTCTGGATCCTTCCATGACTGCAGCCATTTAAGTGTTCAACACTGTGTACGATACATAACATTTGGTAGCTTGTAAATGGAATTAAAGAATAAAGTTTTATTTATGGCTACCTATGTGTTTGTAAGCAGGTATATTGTATATTAGTGTGTTATTTTAGTTTTATAAATGAATTTTGGGGATTAAGAGTGGGTGATGAGTAGATTAATAGACTTTTTATTTTGCTCTAATGTTAACAAATTGGAAATTTACTAAATATTTGGCACTTAAATATATATATATGTATGTATTTTTTACTAACTAGTTAAACTTAATATGGCACCTAAACTTGTTTTGAATTCAAATCAGGTTTTCACTTAAGTGAGTGACTAAGTCAACTACACTGAAACTTTTAACCTTTCTCAGATTAATCTTTTATTTTTTTATGTATTTACAAACAATATAGCAAGGTGATTATTTCGAAAGATACCATAAAATATACTTGAATAAGGGCTATTTAATAGTGAAACTTATTAAAAAATATGTATATGTACACATAATACATACACATACACATATATTCTTCATAGTGGAAGACAATGTTTTGCATTACAGAATTATTCTATTTTTGGTAAATTGTATACTACTTTAATTGAAAATGTTCTCTGCTAATCAGTGCTGTGAAAGAAGTTGCTATTGTTGACCTAGAATTTATGAGTACCTGACCTGCTTTTATTTACCACCTTTTCAATAAGGAAGAAGCTGTGGGACATTTTATAGATGGAGCTTCTGTTTAAGATTAATGAAGTAACATTGTGAATCAAAATGCATTAAAGGTAATCATGTTACCAACAACCTATTTTTGAATTTATAAAATTTCTTTATGAGCAATACTTTGTTAGCTTAGTAAAACATATCATTATACTGCGTGTATATTTGTTATGGCGCCACCAAAAGTGCTCTGTGTAAGTGCCTCTCACAAAAGATCCTGGACAGAGGACGAGAGAGGAATATTAAGTTGTTCTATAATAGGATGCTCCTTTCAAAGGTATCAGTATGATGCTAAGGCATTAATGACAAGGATCTGGTACTGTTTCTGTTTTAAATGTAGGTTTTGCATATCATAGCTATCCAAATGTGTTTTGATTCAGATTTTATATTCTCTACTTAAGCAGAATCTGTGTTCTCCATTGGTTTTCAAGTCCTGTCAAAACCTCAGGAACTTTATTCGTATTACTTAAGCTTTTCTAAATTATCTGCAGTATTTTATGATATTCTACCATAATGGTAAAGTGATCTGTGTTTATGTGTCTAACTGACTACTGAGACACAACACCCTCAAAACGCCATGTGGAAATTTTTCCTTTTATAACCAATATCCAGAGAATCATGTGTGGCTCTTGTGCCGAAGGTAAGTTTTATTATTATACTTGCTTTGTACTTAAAAGCCGGTTTATTTATTCCTAGTAATAAACCTGAAGTACTTATTTACAGAAGTGACCTTTTTCAAGAACTGGAGAAATTACTTGTTTTTATATTGGCTTTTATCTTTAGGTCAGCAAACTTCCTTACCTTATTTACTGGGTTAAATTAATTTATAGGCAGTAATTTAAAACTTGGAACTTCATAAAACTGTTGTCTGTGGCAGATTTTACTTTTATTTAAATGACTCTTATTTTGATTATGATAGTCTTCACTCCTCAAAAAGTATGTTTTGCAATGCTATAAGGCAGAATTCAAACAGATAGAAATTAAGACTTGTTGGAATTTCTTATAAACACAGGGTGTAGGGAGGCTGTGATCATGAGTGAATCTATGAGGCCCCGCTAATACTTTCCAGGTTCATTAAAATACTATAATGACCACACACTGAATCACTTCTCAAACCGTGATCTCAGACCAGCAGCTTCAGCAACATCTGGGAAATGTAGAACTGTAAATCATAAGTCCTACTCCGAACTCCTGATTCAGAAGCTTCTTGAGTAACCTGTGTTTTAACAAGCCCTTCAGGTGCTTTCTGATCTGCTCCAGTCTGAGATCCACAGAATCTCAAGTCGATGCTTTTTAATTTCAATTTACTTGGGATCCCCTGTGTGTTGGAAGATTTTCCTATGTCCCTCACTTGTAATTTCAAGGACATGACTAAAAATGATTTTGCTTAGTTTTAGGTTTGAGACTAAGGTGGATTTTCTCCTTTATCTGATTCTCCACAAGGCCACTGTCTTTATTCTATAATTCAGAATTGCTGAATCTGCCTCTGGATCCCCCTGCCCTTTTCCAAAAGTACAATCACTCCAATGCTTGGGGAAAGTTAATTAAAAAAAAAAAAAATTACATCATTAAACAAATTAAACATGGTTTAACTTTATTCAAGTTATATGTATTAGTTAGCTAGGCCTGCCAAAACAAAATACTTGTGGCTTAAAAAGCACATTTATTTTCTCACAGTTCTGGAGTCTGGAAGTCCAAACTCAAGGTGTTGATAGGTTTAGTTTCTCCTGGAGCCTCTCCATGGCTTGTAGACTGCCTTTCTTTGTGGGCCCCTCTTAGAAGAATACCAGTCATATTGGATTAGAACTTCACCCTAATTTAATCTTAATTGCATCTGGAGATAAGGCATTTAAAGAGGTAGTCACATTGTGGGTAAGGGATTCAACATATGAATTTGCCGGTGGGATGGGGGCTCACAGGGAAAACACAATTTAGTCTATAGCAATATGTGATGACCCAGTTCATATCTCCTTTCCAAAAACAGAAATACGATTTTCAGCCTGAACATTATAGTTCTATTCTTACATTTGTTTTTTTTTGTCTTCTAACTTTCATTTCTCTAAAATCTTTAGTAGATATAGCAGATCAATTAGAAAGTGCTCACAAAATATTCATCTAATCAGTGTTTTTATTGAACAAACCTTTGCCAAATGAATGCAGTAGTCCATGATGACTGGTCCTTGTTCATGTGTTTATTTCATCAGGTTTACTTAACATTGTGTCACGGGCCTGTTTCTGTTTTGCTAGTGTTTTTATTCCTACCTACTCCCCATCCCTTTTTTATTCCACCCCCACCCTGGAGGTACTACTGTTATTATTGTGGCCACATATTTTCCATGTTTTCATAATGTTATACAGTGTATACACATAAGCAGTATTGGGTTTTTTGAGAGGGAGGTGGAATAAGATACCATCTATTTTCTCCTTCCCCCTCCAGCCCACCTTTTTCTAATTAGCTTTGAAAGAGGTCACAACAAGGATGACTGGTCCCTGTGACTCGAACTGACCCCTAGGGGGTAGAAGCTCAATGCAGGAACTGTCCCCTGGTGCTCAGTGTACTCCCACAGCCAATCTCCCTTGGCTGGTGGCCAGTCAACCTCCATGGTCCCTTCCCCCACGCGAATTCGTGCACCGAGCCTCTAGTCAAATATTAAATAATACACTAATAAAATTTAAATGAGGCATGAGTGACAGACTATACACAATTGAATACAAACATGCACATGCACCAGAATTTCAAAAATTCTTATTCATTCCCTATACAATTCTTCTTAATGACTATTTCAAACCTTCACTACCATCCTCAGCCTCCTATCCATTGTCAGCTCCAGTAAGAATGAGATAATGTTTCTTTTGCCTTACTAGGACAATTGGGGACATTGGGTAGGATCTTCCCCTTCAAATTTCTCCTTTAAACCTGTAAGTTTAGATAATCAGGATTTGCTAAGGGATGAACATTATTGAAAATCCAATGTAATGAGGAAAATATAAATTAAATGTATAAAATGAACTTATAAATTTAAATTACATCCATTATTTTGGGACATAATTTTGGGACAAAATTAATTTTTTTTTTTTTAAGTTCTTTTTTTTTTTTTTTTTTTTTTTTTTTTGCCTTGTACTAGCCCAAGCATGTCAAACTTATGGTCCGTGGGCCACATGCAGCCCACAACAAATACTTTTGCAGACCAAATATTTTTGCAAACAATTGATGTACCAGTTTGTACATCAATTTGTCCTTTAACAGCTGGCCCTCGCTTCTTCATTAATCTAGTGCTAGACTAGTATTTCTTACCCTGGCTGTGTATCAGAAGCAGGTGAGAAGCCTATCATGTGGGTTCCTAAAAGACTTGAAAGTCAGAACATTTGGTAAATGCTCCCCCAACTTCAATTCTAAGAATCATCTGTGGCCCTACCATGAGAGACTAATAAAACCTAGCTCAAGCGTTCAGGTGAAGGAGTTTGCCTTTCTAATTATTGTATGTCACAGGAAAGGCATAGGGTTAAGTGTTCTGCTTGGCTGCCTTAGCCATAAGGCCAGCTTGCTTTGGTATGTGCTCCAGCCAAAGCTGCACTCCAATGTTTTCAGTCTTGAGCTCACCGGACTTCTCTCTTCTGAGTGGCTTCAGGGTGCAGGCTCTAGATCCAGATGCTTAGGTCCAGATCCTGGGCCAGCGAGCTGCAGGTTGACCTTCAGTGAGCTCAACCTTTCTGTACCTCAGTTTCTCAAAATGGAATTACACTATAACCCACCTTGTAGGACTCTGAAAAGATTAAATGGGGTTCTATATATAAAACACTCCAATAATCTCTGCCACAGTGTTCATAATTGTCAGCCCTTTTTACAGTTTGTCACTTGATTACTCCTGTTCCTGATTTTTAGAATCTTTACCTTCTTGAGATGGGCTCTTTTGAGCTACTTTCATTCCTGTCTGCATTCCTTGTCATTTTCTTTTCTCTGTTCCCTAAATATCAGTTGTCAAGGCCCCTTGTAACTCTTTACCTTTCCTGGGTGGTCATTTCTACTACCTTGTCTTCCTGCACTGCCTACACGTCGACTCACAGATCATGTTTCTAAGCAAACCTTCCCTGTGAGTTAATTTCCAATTCTTCGTCTAACGTATAGACTTGGATATTTCACAAGCATTTTAAACTTAGCAATCCAAAACAATTCCTTACTTCTTCCGAAGCCTAATTCTCTTATATTCCCTTGGTTAATTATATAATAATCTAGAAATTGAAAATTATTTTCAATTATTTTATTTCCCATGGATTGCCAAGTTGTGAACAGGTCAGATATTTTAATAGTTGCTCATCCCTTTTCTTCATTGATCTCTTAATTTGGACAAAGTGGATTTAGCCCCCAGTGGCATCTATATTTAATCTTGTCCCTACAATCTGTCCTACACATTGTTGGCAGAATAATCTTTCAAAGAGTTTTTGCATGTTTGTCTTCCATTGCTAGACTGGGCTTCTTTAGAGGAAGATAATATCTCTGTGTTTTGCCTCCCCCGTAACTTTGAAGATGTCTGGCAACTTCATAGTCTTGCAGGTTCTCCAGCCCTACAGTCACCTTAGACCTCCATTGTCCAACACGTTAGCCATCAGCCACATGTAGCTATTTAATTTAAGCCAAATAAAATTACTTAGGCATACTAGCCATATTTCAAATGCTTAATAGCGCATGTGACTGTTGCTATCACATTGGACAGTGTATTGTAGAACATTTCCATTATTGCAGAAAGTTCTATTGGACAGAGCTGTCCCAGACCCTTACTAATATGGACATTTTCCTCTATTAGTACCCCTGGAACATTAACACTGTCCAAAGTGCTAGTCTGAGCAAATTGGCCTTTAACATTTGTCCTTTTATCTTGATCCTGCCATTACCACTTCACTACATCAGATAGAACATCTGACCAGAAACTTAGAGCTCCAAGTCCCCATGCAGTTGCTCAGTCTGAGGTGGTTCACCACCTCTCCACTCTTGCTACTTCTGAGGGATGCAATGAAGATAGTTCTAGAAGATATTAAAGTGGTTGAAGACTGGAATGAGTTGATGCCATTAGGTCAACACTGGTAGAATTGGCAAGCAAAGACTAGGAAGTAAATATTGTTTTTCTGCATTCCAGCTGTAGAACTTGCAGAATCTAAGTGGATGCAGCAAACAGGACAGGAAAGTGCAGTTTGCAATCCCAGCACCAGCATCAGAGCTGAGGATACAAGGGGTGGGGCTGAATTGGAACTGAGAGACAATAGGGAAAGAACTAACACACTAGTTCCTATCAGAGATTCCTTCTTATCCAAAGGTTAATCCCTAAAACACTAAATATTCAGCAATTTATGTGTAAACTGTCTCTGGGACCTCAAGAGTAAATGCACTAGTTCTAATTGAAATCTTGTTGCTATGTTCTATCAAATGAGATCTTTTAATGGTGGCTATTTAATGCTTTATTTTTAAAATTAGCAGTGGAGGGATGCTTTATAAAATGAATTCATACCCATCTATACATATTTTTTTGCATGCATACCTCATGCCACATAATCTGCCAGGTAGTACATATATAAAACAAAGCTTATGTAATACGACAAAAGTAACAATCTTTCCAAATGCATCTACCCAGAACTACACACTTACCATGTTTGTATTGATGCTTCAGGACATCTTTCTATACTTGTGCACATACACACACAGGCAACTATATGTAAGCGGTTTTCATAAACACAGAAAGTATAATAAATGTGGGCATATTTTAAGAAAGTGTGTATGGATTTACCTGTCTTCCCTTTAGTATTTGATTCTAAGGAAAATGTACTATAATTTATATAATGTAGAGCGCTACTTATATCTATGCGTATATTATTTTATACCTTTTTTTTCTGCTTAATTTATAGATGTATAATTTCTGAGCTACTGAGTGTACAAATTAAAAATGTTGAACTGAATTGTCAGACTGTCCTTCACCAAAGCTATTCCAGTTTACATTGCTACCACTAGTATGTGAGAGTGTGTTTCTTCACAAGTTCAACAACATGGAATGTTATCAGTCATTAAGATTTTTTCAGTAACAGCCAAAAGCTTATTGTGTTATTTTTATTATTAGTGAGAGTGAAATACTTCAATGTTAATGGCTGTTTGTATTTATTGTATAGCTACTTTATGCCCTTTGCATTTTTTATTGTGGGTGTTCATGTCTATAAATTTGTAGTAATTCATGTTAGAAATAATCTTTTATTACATGCATTGCACTTTTTCTGTCATTTACTTTATTATAATATTGTTTCGTGACTTTTTATTTTTAATCAGATCTGTTGATAGCCTTTATCATGTCCGCCTTTGATATCATGTTCGAAAGAGTTTTTCCTGCCCAATATTATAAAAATACCTGTGTTTTCTTTTATGTTTATGACTGTTTTTTATATCAGTCTTTAATGCAGTTAAAAATTATATTAAGGTGTGAGGTAAGCATTCACAAATTTCTGCCAAGACTATGTCTAATACATTTATAAAATAATTCTTTTTCCTTACTGATATAAAATGTAATCTTCATTAGATAATAAATTTTTATATTTGATAATTATATAAACACTCTTCAGTTCCATTTGTTTTTATCTATTCACTACCATTGCTAATTTAATTACTATTATTTGAACATTGATTTAAAATATTTTATATGTAACATACATGTTTTCCTATCACATATACCCTTAATATTCATTTTTGTCAAAAGTTTCTGTACTCTTACAAAAAAAATTTAGAATTATTCAATGTCCTTTCAAATAAAAATCCTTCTGGCGTTTTTATTGCAATTACATTGACTTGCACAGATTGGTATGCAGAGAATTATGGCATCCTACACTATTGAATCCTCCTCTCTAAAAAGAATGTTGCCTGACTTTTTATTATATTTTTATGTCCCTCAGAGTTTTAAAATTATTTTCATTTGTTTTTAATTCTAGGTATCTTGATGTATATTAATGTTTTTGTATTGTTTATGGATGTGCTTTTTTCAACTTTGAAAAAAATGTTTCTATTTGAATATTACTGATACAGAAACAGTAGTTATCAAACTTTTGATCTCAGAATCACTTCACACTCAAAAACTATTGAGAACCTAAATGAACTTTTGTTTGGGCCAGTTATATCTATTGCTATTCACCATATTAGAAATTGAAACTGTAAAAATGATAATTTTAAAATAACATTTATATTAAAAAAAAATTAATACATTTTAAGTGAAAAATAGCAAAATTTTCTGCCTGATCTTTATTTTGGAAGTTGGTATTTTTAAACCAGAGACCTAAGACTTGAAAGGAAATGAAGTAGTAGTTATAATTGTCCCCACCCCTTTCAGTAGTTATAAAAATTTTGCCATCCTCACACTTTCACAGAACACATAACTTAAAATTTGGACTAGCAATCATTAAAAAAAAATTGATTACTGAAGTAATAGAGGAGAATCATTTTTCAAAGAAGTAATTTAATTTCTTGGAAAAATAAAAACCAAATTTAACAGTTTGGAAAATCAGTATGTCTTCAGTAGTCCTTGAAATTGATTGAGCAAAAAATGGGGGGTAGGGGGGATGAGAACTCATGGACATGGACAACAGTGTGGTGACTGCGGGGATAGGGAGTTGGTAGAGTGGAAGAGGATATTGGGAGGGGGGAAGTGGAGTTAAATTGTGATGGAAAAAAAATGAAGATACCATACCAAAAAAAGAAAGTAAGAAGGAAACTTCCCTTTGGGGGTTGTACTTGCCGTACCTCATGTTTGAAAATTTTTCCAGGAGAGTTACCTTATGCTTCACTGCTCTCAAGTATTTCAACTTTGTACTATCCATTATCCAAACACTGAAAAGAGTTGCTTTATATATTTTTATCCAGATTTGTGGACAGTGATGGCAGGAAAGTTATTCTGATACCAGCTGTTCCTTGATGGCTAAATCAGAGAAGTCTATAAATCTTTTAGATGATAGCATAGGGGAGTACCTTTATGATCTTAAATTAAAAATGGATGTCTTGACACAGAAAAAGAACTCAACATGAAGGAAATTTTTGACCAATGTAAACACATTAAGCATTCTGTCCAGCAAAAGATTCCCAGAGGATAAAAAGACAAAGCAATGTGGTAAGAAAAGGTATTTGCAGTAAGCAAGAGGACGGGCAATAATAGAACTAAACAAAGAATGGGCTTAAGTGGGATGACAAACTCTAAAATGTTCCCAGATCCATTTTTAAAACAACAAGGAGAGCTAAAGAAAACTGTAGACAGAATTTTCAGCAATTAAGTGACAAGGCATTCTCATGGATCCAAAAAAATGTAAGTGAACAGAACCAAATTATAGTCAAACAATATTTTGGTAAGACTTTGTCAAGATTAGCAGATGTAAGGAGGTAGCAGTTAAGAAAATGGAAATTCTCTGTGTCCTAAGATGCCCAGGAAACAGAAATTACTGATAAATTTTGACAAAATAAGACCACAATCTGATTGGAATTTCCTATAAGTAGGTCTGAAAATAAGACAAAGCTGGGAGAAGTTTTAGTTTGGGATTATGAGTACAAAAGAAAATGTATACTACAATGTTGCAAAAAATCAGAGGGTGTTGAGGCAGCCTAACCTTCAAGGAAATTAAATGCACCAAAATAAAACTATTTCAGAAGGCCAGAGACTATTCTGTGGAGGAAAGCTGCTGGAAAGAATTCAGTTAAGATGAACCTAGTGCAAAACACTTTAATCATCTGACCTACATAAATCTCTATTCTTACTGATGTATGTACCATAATGCCATTCCTGCATCCCTAGGAATTTTATCAGTTTAGTAGATACAATGTCCAAAATATCTGAAATACCTGAATGTATTGTTTTCCCCAATGAACAGTCATCTTGGCAAATGGACAAAAGTACTTTAGGCAAGGGTATATTAGAGTACGGATACTTCTACAAAATTGGGAACTTTCTCAAAGGGACTAGTTCTTCATTTGAGTGGCTCTGGAGTTGCAAACTGACTCGTCTTGGAAGTTGGGGGACCATGACTTCACTTTGGTGGTTCAATTCAGATTTTCATTCATCAGATTTACAATCTTTTCTTCTAATGTAAAAGTGGGCTTGAACAGGGGCTTTACAAAAAAATATATCAAAATGACTGTTAAACATGAAAAAGTGCTCAACCTCAGTAATCAGGAAAATGCAATTAAAACCACAGTGAGATACCAGAAAAAGCCGACAAGATTGGTAAAAAAAAAAAAAAAAAAAAAAAAAAAATTAGCATTTGGCACTATCAAATGGTGGTGAGGTGTGTATGTATGTACCAATAGAATCACAGATTATACTATGGGTACGTACATTAGTGCAACCACTTTGAAAAAGCATTCGGTGTTATTTTATCTGAAGTTATGAGTGCATTACTCAGTAGTTATTAGTTTTCCTAATATGGGTGCATGTTTATCAGTTTGCACATACACAACTGTTCTTAGAAGCATTGTTTATACTAGCAAAAACTAGAAGCAATCCAAATATCCAACAAGAGTAAACCTACATTGTAGGACATTCATATAATGGAATACTGCACTGCAATAAAAAGGAGCAATCAACAATTGCATATATTATAAAGATGATAGTGAAAAAAGCAAGATAAAAGTATAGAGTATAATTCCATTTACTTACTGTTTAAGAAAACTAGGTAAAATTAAAATATAGCAATGTATTCATGAATGTTAACAACAGCAAAAAAACAAAGATTGCACATAAGTCCAGGTAATGGTTACTTCTAGCAGAAAGGAAAGGTATATGATTTGAATGTCCCTGGTCTTGCTTCCAATTTCATATGATTTGATATGTGTTCATTTTCTGTATGTATATAAAGTTGCAGTTGGAGTTGTAAGTTTGGATCATGAAGCAGAATTTTTCCCCTAGAGACATAAATTTAAGAATCATCAGCTCTGAGGTGCAGTTGAGGTCAAGGGAATTCCTGAGGTGTGATAAGGTTATGTAAAGAGAAGAGAGAAGGCCCCAGGATTGAGTTCTCAAGAGAATTAAAAGGTGCTCTGTTGGAGGAGAAACCAGCAAAGGAAATAGAGAAGAATATCAGATGAAGTAGGAAAGAGTCTTCATCCAAGACAAGATAATTTTTCTAAAAGTAGAAAGTGGTCATCTATAACAAATGCTTCTGAGTAAAATGAGGACAAAGAGTAGGTTATCTTGACAAGGGTAGTTTCAGTGGAGTGGTGGAGACAGAGGTATGTTGGAATGGCTTAGATTTCCAATAATCTGGCTGACCTCATTAACAAGAGAATTGCAGTCCTATATAATAAACAGCTAATATGCAAATTGACCGACAGCCAAATGACCAGTCGCTATGATGCACACTTACCACCAGGGGGCAGACGCTCAAGGCAGATGCCCTGGTCAGTGTGCTCCCACAGGGAGAGTCCCACTCAACCAGAAGCTGGGCTCATGGCTGTTGAGCACAGCAGGGGTGGCAGGAGCCTCTCCTGTCTCCACAATAAGGATGTCCTACTGCCGGCTTAGGCCTGCTCCACATAGGGTGGGAGCAGATAATCAGACATTCCCCAAGGGCTCCTGGACTGTGAGAGGGTGCTGGCCAGGCTGAAGTGCACAAATTTTGTGTACCAGGACTCTAGTATTAGAAAAAAATATAACAGTTTTAATGCATCCCTTAGTGGGAGAAGAAACTGAGAAATAACCTCAAAGGACAAGAATGAAAAAGCCTGAATCCATTTTTATCAACTGCCAAAAAGAAGAATGAATTACTTTTATAAATTTTCCTTTAAAAATTTTACAAAATAGCTGACATATGAAAGGATGCAGTAAAAAATGCCAGAAAAAAAATGAAGATGACTGAATTTAATTGTATTTGTTTGCATTTGTCATTTTTATGACTTTGCTATTTCTTTTTCTATCCTAATATTAACTTTCTACATAATTTTACTTTTTTTTTTTTTTTTAACTTAAAAGCTTCTCCTCTCACTGTACCTGGATCTTTAGGCCCATGAAGTATAATTCAGGCCAGTCATCAGGTGAGGCAGCATTAAACCTATGACCCATGCAAAAAGCAAGTACATCAGGAAAAATGGAGAAAACTTTCTACCCAGAAAAAAGAGTAAAAAACATGTCTAGCCCTAAGCAGTTTGGTTTGTTGGATAGAGCATCGGCCTGTGGACTGAAAGGTCCCAGGTTCAATTCTGGTCAAGGGCATGTACCTTGGTTGCGGGCACATCTCCAGTAGGGAATGTGCAGGTGGCAGCTGATTGATGTTTCTCTCCCATCAATGTTTCTAACTCTATCCCTCTCCCTTCCTCTCTGTAAAAAACTAATAAAATACATAAAAAACAAAAGATGTCTACTTCATCTTTTCTGGAGCTAGAATTGATAGAGAGGAAAACTGAGCACCAAGGCCATGGCCAGTCCAGTGTACAGCTCTGGATCACATACAGCTCTCTTGAGGGGATTTACCACAGCTGTTTATTTGGAGATGCTCGTTAGAGGCTACTATTTACCTTGCATACATGTTCTGAAAAAAATCTGAAGATGAGGACTTTTTCATTTGCAGTAGCTACAGGTTGGTAGTGACAACAGGAATCTGGCAGTAGCAAGTTCAAATTCTTTGTGTGTCAAGCAACTAGCAACCAGAAAGATAGAAATGGAAAAGAAAAGGTGTTGGCCCTTAGAAATATGGTTTTAAAATTGATTTTATATAAGCCATGATCAAGAGGTAAATATGAACATTTGCAGACATCAGCATAAAATCCTTTCAGATGCTGGGAAAGAAATTTACTGTTTTGATGGCAGTTGTGTACAGAAGAGGAAGAACTTTAAGTAGGATTATAGAAGGATTGAAATAGCATGCTAGATACGATCACATCAGATTGATAAATATTTCTATAAATGTAACCTTAAAATCTCTTTACAGTGTCTCTGTAATCCCACATTGAGGTATATACACAGAGAGCAGCTACCCAGAGCCCTTTCAAGAGAGCTCTTTGCTGGTAGGTCCTTCAGGGACTGCCTCGGTACAGAAGACTGCTCCACTCTCCTCCCGAGTTCCCTATATCTGGCTCCCATGGATGCGTGGAGGAAAGGTCAGGCCATTTTGGCCCAATGCAGAGATGTGTGTGATCCAGAGTTGTACACTGGACTGACCATGGCCTCAGTGCTCACTGTTTTCCTCTCTGTCAATTCTAGTTTTCCCTTTCACTTCCACAAGTGCTGATCTCTCTCCTGCACACCAACTCAGCTTCAGTGTGGGCTTCCAGAAAACCCAGTCTGTGAAATGTTTACCCAGTTAGATTTAATTAGGTTTCTCAGATATGTGATGCAAAAACAACCAAATTAATCTTATAAGTAGTTATCTCTCATTATAAATTAACCGGAGGCCCAGTGCACAGATTCGTGCACTGGTGGGGTCCCTCGGCCTGGTCTGTGCCCTCCCATTCTGGGAACCCTCAGGAGATGTCAGAGGCCCAGGCCGAGGAACTCCATTGGTGCACAAATCTGAGCACTGGGCTTCTAGGATGCATATAATATCTTTGGTTAATT